CATGTGAAGAGGAAAAATAAGTGAATAAGGAGAGAGGTGACCAGTTTGGAGTCGTATTATTCACTTACATTCCGAATGCTTCACAAGCATCCCATATATAAAATAAAAGAACAATCACGCCCCAGAACACTCATTAGCACTGTACATCACATCAGTTGGGCATGGAAAGGATGCTCGGGTATGCATCAATTCCACTTTTCTGAAAGCATGCTATGATAATAATTAAGTGCATATCGAAGGAGAACGCATATACAACTTGAGGTCATAGATAAAAGTTTCAGAGTTATCATTGAATTCTAATGTACGAAAACATATAAAATGCTAAAGAGGAGAAAATCAAAAGTGTCCTCTAATTCATTTGTTGTTTTACTTGATAAGAACGAGTTATTTCGAATTCAGTTGTGATGCTCCCGTAAACTTAAGATCAGCGTCTAAGTTCGGAAGCATAGTAGTGAAATTCTAGGGCAAAAGCATATCTTTCATTTACTCCCTCCAACCAGTCTATATGCTACAATAGCGCAATTAATTCTTAAGCATACAGGAAAAAGTAATGATTAAGATTCATTTGTAAACGGAAAAATAGCTCAATTTGTAATATAAACGCATTTAAAACAGCAAAAGTTACCAGAACGAATTCAATAGCAATAAATCTATTTAAAAAATGTAAAGTTGAGTGTGAAGATTTTACCCGTAGAAGTTTCAAAGCGCAATGGCTTTCCATGTGCATCCCGGTGAATGGAAAACTTGAGCTCCTGGCTATTGCCTGTTATTTGCGAAAGCAATTTATGCATACGAAAAACCAGTCTATGAAGATCCTTCATTGTGATTGCATTCTTAGTTGCTGTCAGTTGTCCGCCTCCATTGAACTCATATATCTCATGAGTATCAGGAGAAAGAACGCGGTATGGGCCCCTCTGGCTTGTGTTCTGAGGAAGATGGTAGTGAATGTGATAAACCTAAAAATGATGTAGAAAAATCAAGCGGAAAAACAGTTAGAGGGAAAGACTTTTTTTATTTTTTGGTATCCCAAATAATAATCACTAAGGGATAATGGATAAGACTGTCTAAAACAATAGATAAGAGTGATTCAAGTGAGAAACAAAGATATTCAGAGATTATAATTTGAAATAAGCAAAATTTTCTAGTTTCGAGAAGCTAATGGAAACGTAGGATTTCATAAGAGGGGGAGTGGGAAATAGTTAAAGATGAAAACAGTTAAAGAGACCGCAGTTCTGCGTTACTACCTTAAACGAAAATTCTTACACAATTTCAAATAGCCTTAAAAGGCGTATTTTATGCCTCCAAAAAGGAATACATATTATCCAATATTTGTATCATTCAAATTAATAGGAATAAGTGTGTACAGCAGAAACCAACTTTTTCTGAGAGAAATTGCATCAAATAAAATGCTAACATATCGATGTTTGTATAAAGGTTGATCATTCAAGCCTTAT